AAAAAAAAAAAAAAAAAAAAATCACCTACTCCTTCACAATCCCATGTCTTATTATCTGAGGTTTAAAAAAAAAGTGAGTCCAATCCCCTTCCCCTCTACCCCCATGGAGAAGAGCTGAGAAGTTGCGCCTTCAGAGCAGAGGTCAGACAGTGCCTGCTGACTGCTGACACATGAGAAAACCTGGCTGTTTCTTTAGAATGAGAGCAGAATATTTCCCTCTTCCAAGACCTTCTGACAACGACTAAATCTGAGTCCCTGGTCATCTACGGGCATCTCCAATTATCTTCAGAGATTTGACAAAATCTCCTAAAACAATCTCAAAAATAATTTTTAAACAATTTTAATTAGAAAATAAGAAAATTCCATACACCACATAGATACAAAAATAGGTGATTGCAGCACGAAGGGTTGAGGCTGTTAGAGTGGCTGCTCTTTCATTGTTTTCCTAAGAAACTTCGTTGTAGGCCTTCCTCTCTCACTGGTGTCCTTCTCAGTAAACCAACCTTAGTCCCATATTCCTTCCCAATGTATTTAATAGAGTTGGTTCTCCTTAGTTCTTCACTCTCTTTTCTTGCTGAAAGGAAAAAAAAAAGTCAGCAGCCTTGCTGGAGGGAAACAGTGGGAGCCCACTGTACTCAAGACAAGTGTTCCCTGCAGTGGGCTCCCTGGCAAGGCGTCTCTCCAGAGTCACCTGCAGCCCAGGCTTGGCACATCCAGCCAGCCTCCTGAGGGGCAGGCTTAGCCTCAGAACAGCCCTGGTCACCCAGCTGCCTCCAGGGCATACCCTGATGGCATAAGAGGGCACTCTTAGGGGGCCGGGCGCGGTGGTTTATGCCTGTAATCCCAGCACTTTGGGAGGGTGAGGTGGGTGGATCATGAGGTCAAGAGATCATGACCATCCTGGCCGACATAGTGAAACCCCGTCTCTACCAAAAATACAAAAACTAGCTGGGCGTGGTGGCATGCGCCTGTAATCCCAGCTACTCGGGAGGCTAGGGCAAAAGAATCACTTGAACCTGGGAGGCAGAGGTTACAGAGAGCCGAGATCGTGCCACTGCACTCCAGCCTGGTGACAGAGAGAGACTCCCTCTCAAAAAAAAAAAAAGAAAGAAAAAGAGAGAGGACACTTAGTAGTAGCAACCAGACCAGACCAGAGTGGGTTCTGCCTCCATATTGCAAGCCAAGCAAAGGCAATGGCTGATACACTCCCAAGCACTGACTTCCTAAGGCTCTCCAACTACAGTGTCAGGAAACACACGCACACACACACACACACACACACACACACACACACACACACACACAGAGAGAGACAAGACCCACATCTTCCACCTCAAGTCTTTGCACAGGGAATAATGTGCTTCATGAAATATTTAAAAGGCCTTAGGCAATAGAATTGTCTCTTGATTTTTTTTTTTTCAAGTGTTTGACAAGTGTAATTGGAAATGTTTGGAACATGAACACAGGCACACACACATACACACTCTAATTTGGAATTATGCAAAACGATATCATTATTCACTGTACAACCTGAAGCAAAGCTACTGCAATGGAATAACAAGTACCGTATCTGTACAAGTCAGAGGCCCCCAAGTCGGCTCTCATTTGGACGAGGGTGACCCACGTGGCCTAGCCCTTTAAGGTCTGTTTAGAGGAAATGGCCTGGTGTGTTTTACATTTGTGAAGCTATTTAGCTTCCTGGTTTGACAAGATTTTTGAGAGGGGTGAAAATTAATTATAATTGCGGTATTGCTACAATAATTTGGTCGGCTAATTGCCTTTCAGTGCAGAAACAGTCAAGGAAGAGTTTCCTCCCCAGGTTATTCTCTGATGTGGTAGCATTTATTTTAAAAGTAATGAGATTTTTAAAAAGTCAAACCTTAAATATCATGGTTTCAGCAATCTGTCCTGCTTAAAGTTTAATGCGAAATGAGATAGCACCTCCGCGAGAGCAGCTCCACGCGAACACGGATCCAGTTTTCTCCAAGACTTGAAATGAGAACATCTCTCTCCCCTGAAAACTACTTGAGGCATCTCTTTGACATTGTTTGGGCCTGATTTTTGTTTGGGAGCACCAATATTTGTGGCTCTACAGTGAAGGAGGCACTGATGAGGGTGCGTAGGAAGTTTTGAAAACTTAATACTGGAAGTCACTAAATGAGGTGTTTTTTGATGGAAGAGGTACCATGAGTAACAGAAGGTTGAAAAAAAAAAAGAGTGAAAAACCTGGGTTGTTGTGGGATTTTTCTGGATCTCATTGTTTTCACATTGGCAATTCTGAATACATTACCTGCCCGTGGCTGTTTTGAGGGAAATTTATCTAACTCTACACCAGCAATGAGCACTTATGATTAATAAACTCTCGAGAGACAGGCCCTATCACCTTAAAATCTTGAAGACTCTGCCCCAAGGCCTGATTCAAGGTACTTTTCTCAGGTGCTGAAACTGTCAGGGGCGTTGGAACCAGAACAACTCCATCTTGAATAGGGGCTGGGTGAAATGAGGCTGAAACCTACCGGGCTGCAGTCCCAGACCCCTAAGGCATCCTAAGTCACAGGATGAGATAGGAGGTAACACAAGATACAGGTTATAAAGACCTTCTGATAAAACAGGCGTAGTAAAGAAGCCGGCTAAAATCTACCAAAACCAAGACGGCGATGACAGTGACCCCTGCTCCTCCTCACTGCTATACTACCACCAGCGCCATGACAGTTTACAAACGCCATGGCAATGTCAGAAAGTCACCCTATATGGTCTAACAGGTGGAGGCAGGAATACTCCACCCCTTGTTTAGCATATCATCAAGAAATAACCATAAGAATGGGCAGCCAGCAGCCCTCAAGGCTGCTCTACCTACGGAGTAACCATTCTTTTATTCCTTTACTTTCTTAATAAACTTGCTTTCACTTTACTGTATGGACTCACCTGAATTCTTTCTTGCATGAGATCTAAGAGCTCTCTCTTGGGGTCTGGATTGGGACCCCCTTCCTGTAACAAAACCACCAGACATCGAGCTCTTCCACAATCTGATAACTTAGCTCAATTCAGAGAGCAAGTTTAGCACATTCTCCTCCTCCCCTTCTCTGCCATGCTCTGAGTCCAGCCACCATTTGTGCTTCTGAAAAGGAGGCTACTGTGTGCTTCCTCAAATACTGCACATCAAAACAGGCCTAACAGCATGGCATGGACCATTTCTTACGGCCTTCATCTGGATTCTAAGTAGTGGGTCTCTGGAGATCTACTCAGGGCTGCCCTCGTGGTTCTGCAGGTCATGCTCTGCACAGTGGCAGTTGATCAAGGGGTGAGGAGGGTGAGCTCCCATCCTGCATCACTTGCCAGCTGAGACTCCTGCTCAGGCTGCATCCCAGCGAAAGGAGTGCCTTTTCTGATTCACCGCTGGGCCAAGGAAGGCCCTGAGTCACCCCTAACCTCTCCCTCCCAGAAATTCCAAAATCGAATGTTCATCTCCTCATCTCCAACACTGCTGGTGTCCTTTTAAGGAAGAGAATATGCGTGTGGCAAAGGTGAATTCATTTTGAAGATATGCTTTCTGCTCAGCGTGAACGAAGAGAGAGGGAGAGAAACAGAGAAAAGAGAATAAAAAGAATGGCAGGGAAGTTGTCCCTCTGCCTAATAAAATGTGGATTCATTGTTCTTCTCTGGACACAGCTGCAAAGGGGCAGGAAATCAATTTTTTCTATTACTCCACGGTGAGGAAGGAAAACCTATTTGCAAATTGAATTAAACCCCGTAATAGCATGTCTGTGTATTTGTTGAGGACTAGAAAAATTAGCCACAGATACAACTACATAATCCAGCAATGTAACTAGAAATCAACACTCTCCCGTTTCAAAGCTTCATCGAGACACTTTCTTTTCCTTTTTTAAAGAAACACCCATGGCTAAATGTCACTAAGATTCTTCGGCATGCCAACACTTCAACACCTCAGTAAGGACTCTGGAAGGGAAGGAACTCCAAAGTCCCATCTGGGTAGAGTGTGCTTCCAAATTCTTGCCTTTGCTAGTGGAGTACCAATCAGTCAGTCAATGACGATTGGATACGAACTAGACCCCTCTAGCTGATGGTTTCTTCCCAAGTCGCAATCTGTGGTGCTGACTGTGGAATAAATCCCCTGTTTCTGTGTGGGCTAGATCTTGTTCACAGACACCCATCCAGTCAGTACTGAATAATCCTGCTACTGCAGTCAGCGAGGGTCCTGAAATTTCATTAGCAGTCTGCCCTCTAGTGGAGCAACACAGTACTTCAGATTTTCTAGGAATAGAACAGATTTTTTTTTCTTTTCTTTCAGGGAGCAAAATAATTCAAGTTTTCCAGCTAGTGCAAGGTGAGGCAGTCATCTTCAGAAGTCAGATTCCAGAGCTGAGGCAAACAAGGCTCACATGGATAGGTCCCCAGGTCAGAGTTAGAGGCAGATGGTGCTGAGGTGGGTGTCCCTGCAGAGCCAGCAGGGACAAAGGTCCTTCTTTCATTCTTAGAACCCTCCAGTACTCTCGTTGGGAATAAGCATTCATAATTCTCTCATTATGCAAATAGGACCCACTTTAAGAGCAATCAGCATAACAGGGATGTGAAAAAAATCAGAGGCTTTTGTAATTTTTTGGCAAATTATTAACACAGACAAACTTTTCAAAAGGTCCACGTTAAATTCTTAAAAAGGCAAAGATTCACAAGTTTTATAGAAAGACCAAGTCTTTGTGTCTGTTAATTTTAAGAGGAGAGTTTATCTTGTGATGTTGACTGGATGCTGCTAAGGCAGAAGATAATCTTGAGATCTGTTGTTTTGGGTTTCGCTTCTGTCTTTTTGAAAAAGTCAGAACTTAGCTTGCTTCAGTTTGTCAATGTGGTGGCAGAGTTTCAGTGCGGGTCCCAGCTTCAGGCCCAGGTACTTCATGACCATGTCACTCCTCAGCAGCAGCAGAGCGTTGCCATCAATCTCCTGGTGGGATAGGACCAGAAGAAAGAAAACCCAGAAGATGGTCAGAGTCATCAAACGGCGGCTGAGGTTAAGGTGTGGTCAGGGGATGTGCTCAGGGCATATGGGTTTATTTAGGCAGCATGTACTCTTGGGCCTGGGGCAAGATCTTTTAAAATATTAAAGCAAACAAATACTGTGTGCTCCTCTCCCCAACATCTCCCTGGAGTCATCTGATACACGGGATGCTTCATATTCCTGCCCTCCCCTGACAGAAGAAATCAAACGTGACCCCATGTGTGTTCCCAATATCCCACTGATGAAGTTTATCTCCTCATCCAACCTTGGCTATAAAGGAGCAGGAAGTGTCATCCGTTAGACCCTGAAACTAGAGGGTCTTTCCATTCCAAACTCCCGCCTGTTGCCCTGATTTCTCATTTCTTTCCTTGGTAGGCACACCTACCTGTACCTGATGACAAAGCTACTCATTCCACCCTATGGAGGATTTCAGGTGTGTTACAGTCCTGTCTATTACACTAGATGGAATGCACTAAATAATGCACCTGCTTCATCTCAGGGCTCAGCACAAAGAACTACCAAGGGAACAAGCCAGTCCTTTGAGGTTTGGTACTGGTGTTGCTACCATTGTTCTCTGAAAGTGGTCCCCCTCCAGAATGCATGCTGAGTTCATGAACCTAGCAAGGCTGGGCTTCCATGCTCAACTGTAGTGCTATTTTCAGGTCACTGGAGACAAAGGGTAGAAATGTGGGGTGCTCAGGCGGGCAGGGAGAAGAGACATAGTTATAGGACTTGTGTAATGGGTGCCAGGATCGCCAGCCCTCTCATTCATCCACCCAGCCAGGCAGTGCCGATGGAGCACCCACTCTGTGTCATTCACTCTCCATGTCCTTGACAAAATGGCAGTGGGCAAGGCTCACCTGTGGGCCACCCACAGGAGCCTCATTTCCTACTGTCTTTTCTTTCCCTCACCTCCTGGATTCCCACCACCCCCTCCCACCCTGCCAGACAGCCAGACTCCTCCTGCCCCAATCTGTCCAAGCATAACCCACTCTGTGGTTCTCGGTCTCAAGGCCCCGTTGTTAGATGAGGTCAACATATGCCTAAAAAAAGGCGAGTGCTGAGTGAGATGAGGATCCTCCTCAGATCGGAAAGCCTGATTTCTTTGACAGGATCACCAAATAAAATGAGAAACAGGAAACAAAAATACTGGTCACTGTGGAAGGTGGAACAACGCTCCTGCCCCTCCATGCACAATGTTTGTATTCTAATCCCCAGACCTGTGAATGTCAAGTTACCCAGCAAAGGGGAATTAAGGTTGCAGGTGGGGTTAAGTTTGCTAATCAGATGACTTTAAAGTAGGGAGATTATCTGGGATTATGGGGCAGGGCTGGGGGGACGGCTGTGTAATCACAAAGCTCCTTAACCGTGGAAGAGGACATCAGCCGTGAGGACCAGGGATGGCAGCCCGAGCAGCCAAACAGGCCGCAGCTTGATGTTACAGGCTTTAAAGATGATGGCGGGGGATGGGAACAAAGGACTGGTGGTGGATCTAGAAGCCGGAAAAGGCCACCAAGCAGACGTCTCCTGGAACCTCCAGAAGGAAATGCAGCCTTGCTGGCTGAGCCCAGCGAGAGCCATGTCGGGCTCCTGACCTCCAGCGTGGTAAGGTAGTGAATGTGTATTGTGTGAAGTCACTGTGTTGGTGGTAATTTGTTACAGCACAATACAAAATGAGTATAGTGTCGGGCGCGGTGGCTCACGCCTGTCATCCCAGCACATGAGACCAGCCTGGCCAACATGGTGAAACCCCATCTCTACTAAAAATACAAACATTAGCCGGGCATAGTGGCGGGCACCTGTAATCCCAGCTGCTTGGGAGGCTGAGGCAGGAGAATTGCTTGAACCGGGGAGGTGGAGGTTGCAGTGAGCTGCGATTGAGATCGCACCACTGCATTCCATCTCAAACAAAACAAAAACAAATAAAAACAAAATGAGTGTAGTAAGCCTGGCAGGTAAATAGATTTTTATCTTTGAAAGAAATTTACCATCTCTCTATATTTCAGCATATCTCAAATCACGAGGATGGTATCTGCTAAGGGAAGGCATCTGAGTCAGGAACCGTGCTAAACACCTTCTGTGCATTTTCCTATTTAGTCCTTGAAGCAGTTTAGGAACAGGCGTGACTGCGGTTTGCCTGGCGTGTCGCAGGTGTGCTGTCTATGTCTGTTGCATGCACAGACGGCTGGATGGGCAGGAAACAGGCACTCCTGACGCAGGCCAACGTGAGAGAACAGACGGGGCCAACATCCCTTTACAAACAAATTAACTGGTTGTTCTGCTCTGAAGAGCCTGTGGTTGTATCTGTCCCTCTCATCTCTGGCTCCCTTGAGGGTACCCCTAGCGCTTAGTTTAGAGCCCCCCCCAACCCGCCTGGCAGCATCCTGCAGTTCCCTGGACCTGACTCTCCTTCCATGCCTGCTTCCCCAATCCCCCCAAGGTCAAACCCACCACTCGCATACGTGCTTTCTGAAGAGCTCCACGTGAGGCCCCAGAGCCTGCGGGTCGGCATCCTTCACAAACCACACCACATCCTCCACAGTCCAGGTGGAGGGGTTCCTGCTCCGCGGCCACCTGGCACCCTGCGCGTCCTGAGAAGGGCTTGAGGCTGGATGGAGAACAGAGGGAGAGCATAAGCCAGTGGGACAGGGCCTTGTACCCACCTGCTGCTGCCTGCCCCACCTAGCCTGGGAGGGGGGTCCTCAGGGCCCATGAGTCCAAGGAGCTGGCCCAAGTGACCTCCTGTCACAGGGAAAGGCTGTGAGAGGCAGCTCTGTCTACAGCCCAGAGAACAGAAGGCCACTCCCAGATACACTACCCTCCCCATCTATGCCAAAGCTCTCTGCCCTCCCAGGAGAGAGGCACTAGACAGCGGATTTCCTTCGACGAGCTAGAATTCCGATCTGAGTTGGGGTTTTCAAGACCCTCTCTCTCAGTGGGCCCAGGGCCTCCTGAGCCTGGGTACTTGGTGACTAGGGCAAGTGTGCTAAGATGAATGTCCAAATGACCCTAATCACGTCAGCGAGGCCAGTAACTTGGGGTCATTTCTGCCTCCATGGCCTTCACACTGAGATGACAAAGGCATGGCAGAATCGAGGTGCCTCATGGTTCTTGTTCACGGTCTCTGCGGAATGCAAGTCCACCATAGCCATCCTGGTCTGCACATGCAGAAAGAAGATGTCACCTCACTCACTGCCCCAGGTCCACACAGAGCCCCTGCATGACCCTCTGGGGCTGTCAGAACAGTTGCCGGGACCCCCCCTGCTACACCGTGAACTCCCTGACTGCAAAGGGCCTAACCTGTGCCTGGTCCATAGCTGGTCCCTGGGAAATGGTTGATTGGGCATTTCCCATGCAGCCGGTAGGAAGATTCAGGACAGTGAAGGAGAAGAGAGCAATGAATTCACTGGCTGGCAACACTTAGGGGTTGATCTTTTCACGTGTATGTCCCAAACTAGCTCATCCTCTTTCCCTAGAGCCAGCTTCTCTTCCTGTTTCCCCCATTTTGGGAACCCACCTCTACCTCCTCCCATTTTTGTGCTCCCCACATTTAATTTTTCTGAAGCTCTTGGGAGAATGCCTCTCCTCTGGTCTCTTCCCTTTCACCCCTGCTGCCCCAGCCCCAGAGCCTGCCACCCAACCCCCTGCCGTGGGTTCCTAATGGGTATTTTGGGGCCATGCCCTTTTCTGCCTACAACTGCCTGCCTCACGTTCTCCCTCAGACTATCTCCCCATGTCTCCCTCTTACCTACACACTGAGCCCTCACTCTACCTCAAGGTCAACGGCTCCCTTTGGTCTTAATGTTTTCCCCTGGGAGGCTGAGGCAGGCAGATCACGAGGTCAAGAGATCAAGATCACGAGGTCAAGAGATCAAGAACATCCTTGTGCAAAGGTGAAACCCCATCTTTACTAAAAATACAAAAATTAGCATCTGTAATCCCAGCTATTTAGGAGGCTGACGCAGAAGAATCACTTGAACCCGGGAGGCGGAGGTTGCGGTGAGCCGAGGTCACGCCACTGCACTCCAACCTGGGCAACAGAGTGAGGCTCCATCTCAAAAAAATAAATAAAAATAAATAAATAATATTTTTTCTTCTTAATGGAGGGTAGAAGGGCTTTGGTGCCAGAGAGACCTAGGGACCGATCCCCGCTGGAGCTGCCCCTTGCTGGCCCATCGCGTGTGAAATGGCAGTGCTTTCTACCTGGAGGGGCAGGTGTGAGGATGAAGATGGGATGGCGCCCTGCCCTGAGGCTGACCTGTGTCAGGTGCTCCACTGAGGGCAGGAGCCCCCTCCCTTCCCAACAGCCCTGTTCTCCTGCGTCCCCTGTCTGTGTGGGTACACTTCCTGTGACCGAATGTCTCCCCAGCTTCCCTGCCCCACCTGAGGCTGCTGCTTTGGCTCTAACCTAGAAGGCGTTCATCCTCTCTCTTTCCCACTCACAATCCACCTGCTGCCTTCATGAACAGAAATGTTCTGTGCTTCCTGCAGCCTGGGTGTTACCTTCCTACCTCTTTATTTTTTATTTATTTTTTGAGACGAATTTCACTCTTGTTGCCCAGGCAGGAGTGCAGTGGTGTGATCTCTGCTCACTGCAACCTCCACCTCCTGGGTTCAAGTGATTCTCCTGTCTCAGCCTCCTGAGTAGCTGAGTTTACAGGTGCCTGCCACCACACCCAGATAATTCCTGTATTTTAGTAGAGACAGGTTTTCACTATGTTGGTCAGGCTAGTCTTGAACTCCCGACCTCTGGTGATCCACCCGCCTCGGCCTCCCAAAGTGCTGGGATTACAGGTGTGAGCCACCACGCCCGGCCTCCTGCCCCTTTATTCCCACATCTTTATTTGTCCATCTATCTTTTAAGGTGCTTTCACATTCCACTTCGTAGTACAATTATGAACTTCTCTAGAACCTCTAGTTAGGCTTTAATTTCCTGAGGATTCCTCCCACTCACTCCACAGACATAGACTGAGTACCTTCTCTGTCCAGGTCCTGGGTGAAGTGTTTGGTGAAAAATACCAACATGATTCTGTAATGACAGGGGTTATAATCACGGACTCCTCCATGGCTCTGAGTACATACACAGTCATGCGCCGGCTCATTACGGCACTCCTGTAAGATTATAATGATCTAGGGAGTCTAGTGCCCATCGCCTAGTGATTTGTGCTGCAGTCTCCTATGGTATTCAGTACAGTAACATGCTGTACAGGTTTGTCGCCTGAGTCATAGGCTATCCCACACCGCCTAGGCGTGTAGTGGACTATACCATCAAGGTTTGTGCAAGTGCAGCCCATGATGGACACACAACAATGAAATCACCCAAGGATGCATTTCCCAGAACGTATCCCATTGAGTGATGCATGACTGTGTTTATAAATACGGGCTTGATAAATGTGAGATGAATCAATGTACTTTGCAGATACAATCTAGGTACCTTATACAAAAGGCTGTGTGTGAAATCTTTACTTCTATTTTAAGGCTAGAAAAAAGTCAAGCCTCTGAACAAGGAAGCAGCCTCCCTACAGAAGAATTCTAAGTTAGAAGTTGAGAAGCCTTTACTTTATTTCCCTTCTTTAAATCTCGAGGCACAGTGGCTTTCTGCTGTCTCTGTCTCCTTCCTCCTTTTCACATGCCTGAGACGAGCATGCTGCCCCATTAGCGCTGAGGAAAATACAGCATCACATTTCTGCGTCTGTCCTTAACACATAATGGTTTGGCTGAGAATTGGATTGACTTTAAGATTTTTCCCTGCCTCTTCCTTGTGGGACCTGGAAGGGTCCCATAAGGTGGTTTGGCATGGGGTATTTTTCTGGGAATCTGTTAGCGTACCCCGGAGCCATCTGAATGCTGATCCATGCTCATTAAAGATGATTTTACTCCATTTAGACATCTGCACTCGACATGGGGATGAGGAATCACGAAATCACATTGCCTTTGGATCCTACCCCATCAGAACATCGGCATTAATCAGGGTGATAATAGATTACAAAGGCTGGAAGTCTTTAGTGCCAAGAATAATTTTAGAGTGATCAGCGCAGAGGTCAAATCTAATTTCCTGCATCTGACAGGAAGTGGGGGAAACCCAGACCAGTTAACAGGATCATTCACAGGAACCTAGAGTCCTTTGAGCAAGGTCAGGGAAACACTTTCCCCTCAGCCACAGCAGGCAGGGCTGAGCGAGGTGGCTGGTTTCTCTTTAAGGAGGAGGCTCTTGGGATGATCGCTGTGGAAGGAAAGAGGTAACTGAGATGGCAAAGTGGGCTCTGTTCCTGCTCCCTGGTGCTTGCTGTGGGCACTTTTCACTTTTCCAGGATGGAGTGGAGGCAGCAGGGGCCTGGGTCAGGCATGTTTTTTAGGGGGGGCTTTTAGTCATACAAGACAGAGGGCAGCAGGTAGCCTAAGTCACACCTCAGGAGCTGCTCCTGATCCAAAGCACACAGACTCCCTCTAGATGGAGGAAACATGGAACTTTCCAGTGGCAGGTTTGCAGAGCCTCACAGAGGTCTGTGCTCACAAAAATAATAAATACACTAGCCACTCCCCTCCAGCTGCTGTGAAGGTGTCAGGAAGACAGGTGGGCGGAGCCTAGTGCAGCTGGGGCAGGCAGATGTAATAGGTCAACGGTAAGACATGATGGATGTGGAAAAGGCTTGCTCCAAAGCAGACAGAGCGTGCCAAGAAGCACTGGCCAGACACCTTTGCGAGCAGGCAGGGTTCTCCAACAAGGAGGACGTTGTCCTTGGTCTTGTCATTCTGTAGGGGCTGCCAGAGGCACGTGCAAAGTGAAGCCCAGTTAGGAATGGATTAAATGAGCTTGTTTCTAAAGCTGAACTCACCTTGACCAGAGATAGGATGGCTGTGAGTCAATGTTTCAAAGCAGTCCCAACATTCACAGCACAGGTATGTGCATACTCTCTGTGAATCTCTCTCTGCCTTACACATGCCCATGAGCACATACATACGCATATAATTTCCTTTCACTCATTCATAATTCAGGAGAGACTCTTTAGCTAACAACGGAGTCATGTGGAGGAGCGGAATGAGCAGTGAGCTGGGAGTCAGAAATCCCTGCCACCCACCAGCCCTGTGATCAACTCTGTGCTTCTCTGTTGTAAAATAAAAGGGTTTGATCTCTAAGCCCCTGCCTGCCCCTTATGACACTGGGCCAACCCCTCACACCTCAGGCTGTTCACACGAAGAGAGTCACCTCCTTCCACAGCTGAAGGTGGTATCAGCATGTCCCCATGCAAAACACACTGAGGGCAGCCACAGCCAGGCTTCCCGTCCGTCCCGGGCTCTGATCATTCCCTATGGACCTCATTGTCTTCATCCATAAATTGTGATTGTTTGTTATTTCTTAAGAACATTTTAACAATCAAGAGAATGTGGCTCAGGGCTAGAGCCTGACCATAAGAATCTTAAAGGGGGAAATGTCGTTGTCTCTGACAGGGACCCCTGTGTCCTCAGGCTGCCTGTGAGCTGCCCAGGTCCTCTTGGTTTCTGGCAGCTGGAGCTGGGTTGGGAGGACCGGGGTTGGTGAGGGGAAGAGGAGAGAGCTCTGTTCTCAGCATCTCCAAGTGACCTGCTCCCGCTAGATGCATCCTTTCTAGATACAAGGCCATATCAAATGTGTGAGGCGCCCAGGCTAGCCCATGATTATGGCAAAATCTTGTGTCTTGAAACAGTGCTGTTTTTCATTATTTCTATTTATTGCCCAGGCTGGAGTGCAATGGGGTGACCTCAGCTCGCTGCAACCTCCGCCTCCCAGGTTTTCAAGTGATTCTCCTGCCTCAGCCTCCCAAGTAGCTGGGATTGTAGTTACGCACTACTCACTCTATCTAGAGTTTTCAAGATACCATGAGGTGAGAGAGATGAGAGGGAAGAGAGCCCACTCAATCCTTAGAGTTTAATCAGGTTTTTATTTAAATAATTTGAGACTAGCTGGCCTGCCTGTGTGAGGAGAGAGCATGTCTCTAGAAACAAGGAGAGATTGTAGGCTTGACGCCAAGCTGAGCTGAGCTAGACTCCTTCTTGGCCACCAGCAGACACTGTGACCTCCTGGCAAGCACTGTGGCCTTTGCCGGGAAGCCTCCAGCTGCCCCACCTCCCCGCTGGCCCTCCCTGGCTGTCTTTTCTGGGGCCTATTCCAGCCAGCTCCACTGTCCCTTCTCTGGGAAGACTTTCCTGGCTCCTAAGGGTAGGCTCAGCCCCTCCCTCCCCATCTGATTCTCCCACAGCATCCACACTCTTCCCTGGCAGCAATCAGCACAACTCTCATTCAATTTGCTTAATAATTTGTTGACATTTGTCTCCCTGGAATTGCAGACCCTTAGAGAACAGGGCTGGCGTCCGTCTTGTTCACAGATCTGTCCCCAGTGTGAGAAGAGCCCCTGGCTCACTGTATCCAGGAGGTCTCTGCTGGCTAGGACCAACCAAAACCTCTCTGAGTCTTAGTTGCCTCATCTATAAAACATCTTTCTGGGCTCTTGCGAGGAGTAAATGGCATAGTGTTGTAAAGCATTAAACAGGATTATTCATTAGGTAGTTACTATGCTTCTTGTTTTGATGATGTCATTCCATAAATGGCCAGTAGATTTGTTTTTCTAAATTCCAGAGCCACCAGCTCACTCCCCTGTTCAGAAATGTCTAGTTTACAATGACTACAGAGCAAAGTCCCATCTGCCTGACATGGATCCCAAACCTCCCAGCATGGTTTCCCTGGTGTCCCTGCATCAACTCTTTTTCTTTTTCTTTCTTCTTCTTCTTTTTTTTTTTTTTTTGAGATGAGGTTTCGCTCTGTCACCCAAGCTGGAGTGCAGTGGCATGATCTCAACTTACTGCAACCTCTGCCTCCTGGGTTCAAGTGATTCTCGAGCCACAGCCTCCCGAGTAGCTGGGATTACAGGCCTGTGCCACCACGCCCAGCTAATTTTTGTATTTTTAGTAGAGACAAGGTTTCACCATGTTGCCCAGGCTGGTCTTGAACTCCTGACCTCAGATGATCCACCTTGGCCTCCTGAAGTGCTGGGATTACAGGTGTGGGCCACCGTGCCCAGCACAAACTCTTTAATTAATCAGCTCTTGCCATGCCTTTGTCCACTTCCTCACACAGAATACTGTTCTCATTCTTTTTCTAGCTAAATTATCTCCATCCCTCACCCAATGCCAGATCCTATCAAATCAAAATCCAGCCACAGGAAGCATTTGGGTTGTAATAGTAACAATGTCAGATTGACTTCATCTCTTGATTCTGAATCTAGTTGTGGTCATGAGTTCTACCATGTGTCCTGTTAAATGCCAAAGTCAGGAAGCTTTTGTTATCCAAACCCTCTTTATGGCTCTCGGTGATTAGATCTTGGATGAGAGACAAGGAAGAGCCCTCAATCCTTCAGCAGAGCATCAGCAGACGCCGAGGAAATGCGCCCTGGGAACACATCCCCTCGGAGCCCACTGGCAGCAGAGGTGGACGTGATATATCTCGACTGCAGGAGGTGAAGGGTAAGTACCGCCAGAGAGAAGGCCGGGGAGTTTGTCATGTCATCAACAGCTACCCCTCTGCCTGCAGCCTCATGCAGTTTTCTGGCTTCTGTGGTTTTAAACCATTTTGATTAGTCCCACAGGGGAAAAGGCCATTTTGAAGTCTCTTCCATGGTTTTTGACTTAGGTCAAACCCTTCTGAAGAGGTATGGTTTTTTGACGACAACTGTTTTTACTTGGGATGGAACTTCAGAGCAATATTGAACAGTCATTTGGGTGGAAGGGTGGCGTGTGGGGGGACACACAGCAGGCACCAGGGTGACCACTAGGTGAGGCATGGGTGAGGACACTCATGGTTTCTCTCAACTTTAACATTCTGCCTCTGAAGTCAGCGTGGTTTTCATCTCCATGGTTTCCAAACATTTTTAGCTGTGCAAATTTTGTTTAAGCAAAGCACATATAGAACCCCACTCTGCAAATGTGAAAAGGCCCTGCTTAAAGACAGGCAGGGTGCCTGGAGTCCTGTCTGCTCTTGTTCCTTCTTCTCTATCTCTTAGAATCTTGAAAGCCATCAGGCATGATCTGAAAACCCCTAGGGTTTTGAAAGACACAGGCTTTGGAGTCCATTGAAGTCAAATCCTGGCTCAACCCTTGATTTACCTTCTGTTGAGCCTCTTCTTCTTTAACATATCAATACCTTTTTATTAATAATAAATCATAAACATATAACTTGAAATCAGTCATGAATAATGTGTGGAAAGTGTCTGGCCCTCTTGAGTGTAGGTGTTCAATAAATAACAGTTTGATACAGTCCTCAAACAAGCCCCCCTTTGCCAGGGCTGTGGGGGATTCTAATATGAATAAGAGGCTTCGCAAAGCTGAGGGTCCGTTCCCTTCTTTAGGATGGGCTAGAAATACAGATGAGGAAACAAAGTGCTGTGGGAGGGAAAAGGAGGGAGTGAGCATTTCTAATTAGACTTCCTGTTGCCTATCCAGCGTCATTTTGCACTTCTAACTCTGTAATAGCAGCCCTGATTTCCATCTGGAATCACAGTTGCTGGGAATGGAAACCACATTTCCCAGCATCCCTTGCAGCAAGTGGCCATGTGACTAAATATTGATCAATGAAATGTAAGCAGAAGCAGAAACCTCTTTGAGAGACACGGGTGCTATCCTCCCTCCCATCTTCTCCCCACTCACTTCCTCTGTCTCGCTGCTGAGAATGTGCATGGCTGACTGGCGCTTTCTGGTACCTGGGTTTTATTTAGCACCCTGAAGAAGGCACTGGTTAAAAGGAATATTTGGAGAATTCAAGTGTTAATAGACCTATAAAGGATGAATAATTTCATTTTTCTTCAGTGTATCACAAACGTTCAACAGTGAACGTCAACTGATACATCATGTAGCAGCTTTTCTCCAAAGACATTAGGTGGCTTTGTGAACCATCCCACAGTCCCATGGCGGGGGGGTTCCTGCTGATTATGAACAACTGGATTTCAGGGTCTCAGGCAAGGTTCTCTCTAACATATATATACGTTAGAGCTGATGGGCTGTGATCAGTTAAGGGATATGTTAGAAAGATCTACGCTGTAACTACTAACACTTATTGAGCTCTTATTACATCCTAGGCCTCATACTAAATGCAAGTATGAACTTCTTTAATCCTTCCAACAATCCAGTGAGGCATGTGCTGCCATTATTATTGATCGCAGTTTTATACGTGACGAAACCAAAGCACAGCTAAGTTAAGACTTGCAAAAGGTAGGCAGGAAGCAACAGATCCAGCATTTCAGCCCAGGCTGTGTGGCTCAAGTCCCAGTGATTATCCACTATGCGCTGTGGCCTTTATGCACTATCAGAATACTGAAGCTTGAAAATCATTTCTTAAAACGTCAGTCAGAACGGCCTTCAAGCTATTATTATAATCCTTTATCCCTCACAGCACTTTCGTAGATTGCATTCTGACAAGTTTTCTTCAGTGGTCGAGACAGAAGTGGCATTACAACCAGCACTGGGGGAATTTTGCCTAACTCTGCTTCTGCCCATGTATTTGTATCCTGAAAGTGACACCCGCTATGCAGGAGAAAATTCTTTACCAAAGTCTGGTTCTCCTTTTTCCTGGACAGAGCTAGCCTATAGCTCCCAGAGTCCCTTACAGTTAAGTGTGGCAAAATGGGATGTGAGTGGAAGTGCTGAGCATCACTTTCTGTTTGCAGGGAAGCGCCTGTGCCTTCTCCACTCCTCCTTTCCCTTTCTATTTGCTAAATGCATGGGGGCATGAAGGCTGTAGGGAGTGGCAGAGCCACAGAATACACAGAGCCTGTGTCCCTAAACTGACATACATCCGTGAATCAGGAACATTTCCCTTCGGCTCCTGAACGAAAATTTCCACGGTATTTGAACTTGTATACATTTTGAAGTCTACGTATCCTATGGCCTAGCTACCCTAATACATGGTTTTCTCTGCTTATGGTCAAAGGTTGAGATTGGCTGTTTTTGAGAACCTCAAGAATCCATGAAAGGGCCTGTGGAAATTCCGGATCTCCCAGCAGTATCGTGTTTAAACAGCCACACCCCCCCTCCCCCAGACACTGTGCTCCCTGGGCAAGGGCAAGGGACGTTAAGTCAGCGGGAAGCTGATGCATGCATTACATTACCACATCTGTTTCCTTCAAGGGAGGTCGCGTTTCTCTTGGGGCTGGAGGCTGGGGGCCTCAGCCCAGGTGCTGAGGGGCCACCAGAAGACATGGGACTGGTGCGGGGACCACCAGAGGTGGCAGCAGGACCTCCCCCAAGGTGGCTGTCTCCAGAGTTCTGCCTCTTGCAGTACAGTGAGGAGGAGGGGGGCAAGGATCCTCTGTGGTTAAAGGTGGAGGCGGCGGGGTCCATGCCGTAGCGGTTCATGCCCACAGGGTGCACCAGGTACTCTTCGGTGGTGACTGTCTTGGCTGAGCAAGAAGGCAGCACAGAGAAGCAGATATCAGAGAGCAGTTCAGGAAGCTACCAGACCCTCCGTTTTGGCAAACCTTGCCTTGCCAACATAGTCACCAGTATCTGTGAGGATGGGGAGAGGAGAAATGAACCCCATAACACAGTTCCAAACAGCATACCTGTCAGCAGGCTGAGACAGCTGCCTCACCCACAGAAGCATATTATAACAGGAATTAGAAGGTGTGCTCCTCTGTGCTTAGAGGAAAATTAATATTTTGGCCATTGATGACTTAAGAATAAGCCCGAATCAGGCCAGGTGCAGTGGCTCATGCCTGTCATTCCTGCACTTGAGGAGGCTGAGGAGGGTGGATCACCTGAGGTCAGGAGTTTGAGACCAGCCTGGCCAACATGATAAAACCCCATCTCTACTAAAAATGCAAAAAATTAGCCAGATGGAGTGGTGGGTGCCTGTAATCCCAGCTACTCAGGAGGCTGAGGCAGAAGAATTGCCTGAACTGGGAGGCAGAGGTTGCAGTGAGCCGAGATCGCGCCACTGCATTCCAGCCTGGGCAACAAAAGCGAAACTCCATCTCAAAAAAAAGAATAAGCCCAAATCAAAGACTTTCTCCCACAGTGGCTCTGCCCTCACAGTCTCTGCTGGCTTCTCAGAATCTCCCTGTGCTCCCTGCTCTTGCTCGCCCACCAGCACAGACCCTGTCACCTGGCTCAGGACTCCTGGGACAGATCAAGCAAGAGTCACAATGTCCCAGAGTCAGGAGAGACAACTGTGGCCTGGGTGGTGGCCCAGATGCCACAGTGCTTTCTCCCGACACCTTTAGTCCCGATACACACGAGGGCAGCCACCTTCTGCCAGGGCTAACAAGCAGGGACACAAGTACTGATATGGACAGCCCCACAATCCTCCCCAAACCCTTCACAGGAGAGCTAAAGAGTCAGGCTGAAGTGCAGGGGGAGGAGAGGACTTAGAGAGTCTCCCAACCTCATCATCAGTGCCTCTTAAGAATACCAGGACTTAGTGTCCTTTTTTTTTTTTTTGAGATGGAGTTTCAATCAATCACTCTGTCACCCAGGCTGGAGTGCAATGGTTCGATCTTAGCTCACTGCAACCTCCACCTCTCAAGTTCAATCAGTTGCCCTGCCTCAGCTTGTCGAGTAGCTGCCCGGCTAATTTTATTTTTAGTAGAGACAGGGTTTCACCATATTGGCCAGGCTGGTCTTGAACTCCTGAGCTCAAGTGATCTGCCTGCCTTGGCCTCCCAAAGTGCTGGGATTACAGTCCTATGCTTTTAAAGTGCAACATTGAGCCTGTTGATTTCCCTGTGAGCTATACCTGTGACCTGTGGCCAAATGGTGGGTTTTTTGTTTGTTTAATTATTTTTATGTGGGTTTTTTTTTTTTTTTTTTTTGGGGGTGGGGGGTTGACTAGAGAAATTATAGGAACACAAAAATATAACTATTCTAGTCCATCAAATAAGGACAAGATCATGTCTACCTATCCCCAGCAATGATTATCTGTGTATTAGATACCATCAAAACGATCTTGGTATTCCAAAAGAAAATGCAATCAACAATAACAACAACAGCAAAACCCTCTGGATCCTCCATGATTGGCAATAAAAAACAAATTGAGGCCACAAGATCCAGATGTCTTCTCCATGCATGGATTCTTCCACAATGTAGGTATTGGATATTAATACTTGATTTTATTAGGGGAGCTAGCAGATCTTCTTATAGTTGGGGACAAATGTGGAGTCTGACCGGAAATAAAAGTCATTGCAGATGGGATACAGTTAAAGCAGTGCTTAGAGGTAAATTTAGAGCTGTAAATGCTTCTGCTAAAGGAAGAAAGATCTCAATTTAATAACCTAATCTTCCATCATAAGACACTGGAAAAAAATTTAAAGCAAAGAAGGAACTGATAAAGATTTGAGCAAAAATTAATTCAGTCAAGAATTTAAAAAAAACAATAGAACTCAATAAAACCAAAAGCTGCTTCTTTGGAAAAAGAATAACAAAATTTCAATCCTTTAGCTAGGTTGACAAAAAATAAAGAAAGAAAAAAAAGGAAAGAGAGAGTACTGAAATTACTAGAATCAGAAATGAAAATATGAGAGGACATTACTACTGACCTTACAGAAATTGAAAAAGATTTAAAAAATACAGATGTTCTTTGCTTACAGTGGGGTTATATCCCAATAAATTTATCATAAGTTAAAAATACTGTAAGTTTAAAATGTATTGAGCATACCTAATCTACCACACATTATAGCTTAGCCTAGCTGACCTCAAATATGCTGAGAACACTTAAATTAGCCTACAGTTAGACAAAATCATCTAACACAAGCCTAATTTTATGATAAAGTATTGAATATCCCATGTAACATAAGAATACTGTACTGAAAGTGAAAAACAGAATTGTTGTTTAGATACTTAAAGTATGGTTTTCACTGAATGTATATCGCTTTTACATGACTGTAAAATGAAAAAATCAAGTCAAACCATCTTAAGTCGGGAACTACCTGTTCTATGAACAATCGTATGACAGTAAATTAGATAACTTAGATAAAATGAACAAGCTACTAAAACTGACTCAAGAAGAAAAAGACAATCTGAATAGACTTGGAACAAGTAAAAAGACTGAATTAATAATCAGAAAACTACCCACAAAGAAAGCCCAAGCCTGGATAACTTCACCGTTGAATTCTGCCAAACATTTAAAGAAAAAATAATATTAATTCTTCACACAAATTCTTTCAAAAAATAGAAGAGAGTGGAATACTTCCCAACTTCTATGGCAAATACTTCAACAAAGCCAGGATTACCCTTATACCAATACCAGACAGACACAGCATAAGAAAACTACAAACCAGTATCTCTTATTCATATGAATATAGAAATCCTCAACAAAAAAACTGAACCCAGCAACATATAAAAAGATCTATACACCATGACCAAGTAGGATTTATCCCAGGAATGCAAGCCTGATTTAACATTCAAAAATCAATTAATGTAATATACCATATGGGTAGACTAATAAAACAAAGATCACATAATCATCTAAACAGATGCAGGAAAACATTTGACAAAATCCAATACACTTTTGTGAGAAAATCACTCAACAAACTAGGAATAGAAGGGACTTTTCTCAACCTGACAAAGGGTATCTGCAAAAAACCTATAGCTAACATCATGACTAATGGTCAAAGACTGGATACTGTGCCCCTAAGATCAGGAACAAAAAGAGGCTGCATATTCCAGCTACTTCTATTAACATTGTGCTAGAGGTTCCAGCCAGTGCAATTAGGTTAAGGAAAAGAAAAGCCATCTAGATAGGAAGGAAGAAGTAAAACTATCTCTTATGTGTATGAAATCCTAAGGAATCCACTTAAAAGACTATTGGAACTAGTAAGTAGTTCAGCAAAGTTGTAGGATACAAGATCAATGTGCAAAAATCAATTGTATTTCCACACGTTTGCAATTAATTGGAAAATAAAATAGAGAATAATTCCATTTATAATAGCATGAGAAAGAACAAAATAGGAATAACTAGCAAAAGTTCAAACATACTCTGAAAACTACAAAACATCGTTGAAAGAAATTAAAGAAGATGTAACTAAATAGGGAAAGAAATCTCATGTTCATAGATCAGAAGGCTTATTTTTAGGGTGGCAATACCCCTCAAATTGATCTACAGATTCTGCACAATCCCTGTCAGAATCTTCGCTGATTTCTTGGTAGAAATTAACAAGCGAATTCCAAAACTCATATGGAATTGCAAGGGACACAGAATAGCCAAACCCATCATGAAAAAGAAAAACAAAGTAGAATCACACTTCCTGATTCCAAATTTAGTACAAAGCAACAATAATCAAGACAATGTGGGAGGTCATCATGTTAAGTGAAATAAGCCAGGCACAGAAAGACAAATATCACATGTTCTCACCCATATGTGGGAGCTAAAAAAAGTGAATCTTGTGAAGATAGTAGATTGGTGGTTACCAGAGGCCAGGAAGGGCAGGGGTCAGTGGGGATAAAGAGAAGTTGATTAAAGGTGCAATTCTATGGTTTTACAGAAGAAATAAGGCCTAGAGTTTAAGAAATCATTTGAGTGACTATACTTTACAACATCTATTAAACATTTCAAAATAGCCAGAAGAGAATAATTCAGATGTTTCTATCAGAAAGACAAAATATTTAAGGTGATGGATATCCCAAGTACACTGATTTGATCTTTACAAATTATATAAATGTATCAAATTGTCACATGTACCTTAAACACATTTGCATTGATTTTAAAAATTGTTTAAAAAATCAATAAATAAAGCCAATGTCACTGGAGGGGGTGGAAAGACGGTGTGGTTCTGGCATTTGGATAGGTATACAGATTAATGCAATAGAATTCAGAGTCCAGAAATAAATCCGTGTGTCTATGTTCAGCTGATTTTCACAGGGGTGCCAAGACCATTCAATGGAGGAAAGAACAGTCTTTTCAACAAATGGTGCTGGGACAACTGGATATCCACATGAAAAAGACTGAATGAAGGAAAACCCTTATTCACACCATATACAAAAATGAACTCAAGTGAATAAAAAATGTAAATGTAAGAGCAAAAGCTATAAAACTCTTAGAAAGAAACATAGGGGGTAAATCTTTGTGACCTTGGATTTGGCAAAATATTCTTAGATTTGACACCAAAAGCACAAGCAACAAAACAGTAAAATAAATTAGATTTCATTAAAATTAAAAACTTTTGCACTTCTGCACTGGGCATGGTGGCTCATGCCTGCAATCCGAGCACTTTGGGAGAAGAGGTGGGCGGATCACATGAGGAGTTCGAGACCAGCCTGGCCAACATAGTGAAAGCCCGTCTCTACTCAAAATACAAAAATTAGCTGGGCATGGTGATGCGAGCCTGGAATCCCAGCTACTCGGGAGGCTGAGGCACGAGACTTGCTTGAAACCTGGGGGAAAGAGATTGCTGTGAGCTGAGATCAT